CAATAAGGTCAGGAGCAACTCCTCGCATACCGCGCCTTACGCACTGGAAACCGTATTGGGCTATGTGATCCTTGGCTCCGCCCCCATCCTAGATAGTATTTCGGCAGCCTCTTATTGTGGTATGGCTGTCGAACCGCTCGAGTCGTTAGTCCGCAAATTTTGGGAGATGGAGGAGGTGAACGTCCCACCCATAGCTAGTTCAGATGACAGGATATGCGAGGAAATTTACGTCCGCACGACCGTTCGTGATCGCGACGGTAGATATAGTGTAGCGCTACCCTTTAAGGGAGATGTTTTATCTCTCGGCGATTCGCGTCAAATGGCGGAAAAACGTTTCTACAGCTTGGAGCGTAGGATGCTCGCTTCGCCCCAGTTAAAGGAAGCTTACGACGGCGTCATTAACGAATATATAAGAGAAGGTTACATATCACTTGTGGCTTCGAAATTAGATAACTACGAAGACACACCGTCGTATTTTATACCACACCACGGAGTCATTAGAGAGGACAAACTTACATCTAAATTACGTGTAGTGCTCGACGCTAGTGCTAAAACTAGCACTCACCTGTCGCTTAACGATATCCTCTATAGTGGGCAAAATTTACAGGGCAGTTTATTTGATATAATAGTCAATTTTCGTTTGTTTAGTATAGCACTATCCGCCGATATTCGCCAAATGTTTCTTTGCATAGGGGTCCGTGAATGCGACCGTAGATTCCAGCGCATTTTATATCGTTTCCACCCAAAGGAACCTCTAATGGTGTTAGAATTTAACCGCGTTTGTTTTGGTTTAAAGTCGAGCCCATTTCATGCGTTACGCACGGTGAGACAGCTCGCTCACGATGAAGGTCCCTCTTATCCTAAAGCTAAGAGGGCAATTGAGAGCGGATTATATATGGATGATTTTGTGTATTCGGTCGATAGCGTGGAGGAGGCCACCCTAACCACCGCCGAGGTTATAAGGCTCATGAAATCGGGTCAATTCGATCTTGTGAAGTGGACTAGTAATTCGCGTCCGGTTTTAGATACAATCCCACTATCACACCGTCTTTCGGCGATAAAGGAATTCGACGATTCCGATACACACAAGGTGCTCGGTCTGTGTTGGTCACCAGAGTCCGACGTGTTTAGCCTTAAGGTAAATCCGCCCGTAGAGAAATGCACAAAGCGCACAATACTGTCATGCGTTGCTAGATTATGGGACGTCATGGGTTTCGTAGCTCCGGTGGTATTATACGCTAAGCTTTTGATTAAACAACTTTGGTTATTTGAATGCGATTGGGATGACTCGCCGCCTGACAGCATTGTTCGATTGTGGCAGCGCTTTAGAGAGGAACTTCCTTTACTAAGAGAAATTAAAATACCGCGTCATATAAATGTCGATAGAAATAGCAGCATAACGGTTGTTGGATTTGCAGACGCCAGCGAGAAGGCTTACGGGGGCGTTGTATATTTCCATGTCCAGAATAATGGTAGAAATTCGATTAGCCTCATTAGTTCTAAGTCGAGAGTCTCCCCCCGTAAGGTTGTCTCTCTGGCGCGCTTAGAGCTTTGCGCAATATTAGTACTCACCAAGCTTATTACCACAGTTATCGGCGCATGTAGGGATAGAGTTCACATAGAAAGAATATTTGCCTTTTCCGACTCCACCGTCGCCTTATGTTGGGTTCATTCTTCACCCCACCGTTGGGATACGTTTGTCGCGAACCGAGTGGCCAAGATCCAAGACGAGTTAGAAACGCGGAACTTTTATCACGTGTCCGGTAAGGAAAACCCTGCCGATTGTCTATCCCGGGGACTCACCCCGATGCAAATAATGGACCACCCGCTTTGGTTCCATGGACCTTCTTGGGTTCACTTGGATCCCTCACAATGGCCAATAACCGATTTCGAACCTTCGTCAGTGTCACAACCGCCGGAAGAGAAGAGACACGATCTAGTGGCGAACGTTTCGAGCGAGGTTTCTCCAATCATTGCTCTGGCGAACCGCTTGTCCTCTTGGTCGAAATTATTGCGTAGCGTAATTTACGTTTGTCGATTCGCGAAGCTTTTACCGCGACGTCCGTATGTCTTAGCATCCGATTACAACTATGCCGAGTCGCTAGTATTACGTGAACTTCAACGTGCGCACTTCTCTGAAGAAATTACAAGATTACAATCGAATAGAGCTTGTAGTCGCGCCTTTCAACGCCTTAAGCCATTTTTACAGGATGGGATTGTAAGGGTAGGTGGACGCTTGTCCAACTCGCAATTGAGTTTCGACCAACGGCACCCTATAGTTTTACCGCGTAAAGACCATATCATGAACTTATTAGTCGATTATCATCATAAATTGAACTCGCACGCTGGCCCCGATTTATTGATGTCGATCTTGCGTCAGAATTATTGGATTCTTTCTGCACGTAGTTTAATACGCAATCGGGTGCACAGATGTATAGCTTGCTTTCGGGCACGCCCCAAGCCGTCATTTCCGGAAATGGCGGAACTTAGATCTTGTAGAGTGATACAATCGGTAAAGCCCTTCACGCACACCGGGTCTGATTTTGCTGGTCCGTTTAAGGTCACGCTCACTCGCGGGCGTGGTATAAGATCCACAAAGGCTTACGTCTGCATTTTCGTATGTCTAACTACTCGAGCAGTGCATATAGAACTCGTTGGTGATCTAAGCACAGCAGGCTTTATGGGTGCATTTAAAAGATTTCTATCGCGCAGAGGCCCTGTAAGTAAATTATATTCGGATAACGGTACGAACTACGTCGGTGCAAAACGTATTCTATCGGAACTACACGAGCTCTTAGCTAGCAAGTATTATAATTCGGAGTTCGCTCACATTCTAGCCGAGAACCGCATTGAGTGGTCTCTGAACGTCCCAGCCGCGAGTCATTTTGGGGGCAATTGGGAGACTAATATTAAAAGTCTAAAGAGCCACTTATACCGAGTAATAGGAGATCAAATTTTGTCCTTCGAAGAGCTAAGTACGGTGCTCGCTCAAATTGAATGCGTAATGAATAGCCGCCCACTTTGTCGGACGTTATCTAGTGACCCCTCGGAACCGCTGGCTCTAACTCCAGCACATTTTTTGACTTTAACGCCTCTAAGGTATCTGCCCGCCGCGGATATGGATGAGAACAGACTTAGCATTTCCACACGCCACAAATTATTAGATCGGTTAGTGCAATCGTTTTGGAAACGATGGAGGATGGAATACTTGCATACTTTGCAGTCTCGGCAAAAATGGAACACAGCGACAGAGCCTTTAGCTGTAGGAACCGTAGTTGTGCTCACTAAGGAGAATACGCCGCCTCTCCACTGGCCGTTAGGAATCGTCGAGGAGGTCTTTCCCGGTTCCGACGGAGTAATTAGGATAGCTCGCGTTAAGACCACGGTTGGGTCTTACCTACGTCCTGTTATCCGTTTGTGCCCCTTGCCTCTTCCATAATTTAAATTAGCTTTCTAGACTGAAATTGTAGTTTAATTTAGGTAATCTTAGCGTTAGTTAGTTATTTGTTAGTCGATCTTAGCTCTAGTTGTTTAGTTATTTTTTTTTGAAGGAAATCCTTCAAGGGCGGGGGGAGATGGTTGCGCGGAAAACCATTCGCGTTTTTTATTTTTGACGGTAGGAACTTGTAGAATCATTATTTCCTTTCCAAACAATATCATCCGTACCCTCCTATCGACACATCGGGGTGGTGGGGTGGGAGGGGAAAGAAGACGATTCTAGAACATCGCGTAATCACCCGAGCCGAGGATATATAAGACACGCGCGACCGATGCGCGAGCCTCTTCTCCCGCCGCAGTCGTCGTTGAACCAACGCTTCTCTCCTGACGCACCACTGGGGCCCCAGAAGTGTCTGTCCAGAGGAGGTTCCGGAAGTCGCCGCTATAGTGATCGACAGGAAGAAGAAACCCCGGTGAGTCAATACTCCTTAATTATACCTGCTTGCTAATAATTTAACCCGCTCCAATCTGTGTTTTTTTCCTAGTCAAGCAGGATTCCTTTCATCGATTCGACAAGTAATAGTTTAGTTTAGGGAAGAGCGAGTGCATTGTACCGCATGCTATAGTAGTCGCCTTATGTAAGCGTAGAAGCAATCGCATATACAGTCCACTTTAGTTAATATCTCGCGTAATAGGTTTGAGGTTTGACCGGGGAACTAGATTTTCGGCAGCCTTAAACACGTGGCTCCACCACAAGTCATAAAATAAAATATACATATATGCGCCACTAGTTGACCAGCAAACTCCAATGCCTGACCGCCAATGTACCATTAGTTGACCATACAGAGACATGTAAGTAAAACGAAATTTACAAAGAAAATAATGTTTAATAGTTAAAATTTTAATTAATAAAAGCTTTGAAAAGAAGATCAACAAAATCTAACATATTTTAAACAGTAAATGGTAGGTATTTTTCCATTTCCTTTACTACATAAAAACCTCTTTTATTAGAGAGCACAGGGGCATCTATTATTTCCACTACATCTTTATGATGATACTAGATTTTATCAGACTTCTCTGGCCATTTAAACGTATTTCCCATTGAAAAAGTCATAGTGCTTACTTCAAATAAATCTTTTTCAACATTTTCAATAAGCCCTGGAAAATATTCTCCCTCATATGTAATAATTACATGGTTTCCTTTACATATTCCTTTTTTTCTTAGCATATATAACACTTAAGATTTCGTCTTCGGAGTTCGATGTGGGTTTCTCTATTCGTTTTCATTCATTTTCTTTATTTATTATTATATCAGTTGTGTTACCGTCTGACTCACTATCACTCCGTATAATGAGTTTGTTTTGTTTCTTTTTTAATTTTATGCCTTTGACTTCACATTTTTTAATCTCTACTGAGTCACTGGAGAGTGAACGAATTGGTTTCTTTACTTTACTTTTGCTTGTTTTCTTCTCATCTCGCTTTCTTTTTCTGTTTTCTATATCTTCTAACTTCTTTTGCTTTTCTTCTTTTTTTTTCAAAGTAATCAATGAAATATTTTGATGTCACTGCAAGTGGCAGGCGTTCCTTTGTTTTATCTTTATTGGAGAGTCTGATGGCCACAAAATATGGTTACCAAATGCAGGGCTTATTAGTTTTTGTTTTTGGGATATAAGCTGGACTAATTTATTTTTAGAAGGGGAAACCGTGTTGCTACCTTGTTCATTACTTGCAATCTCTCCCCCTGGAGCAGTAGATGAACACCGAATTACTGGAGCGCCTGGCGTAGTTTGAAAGAGTGACGGAGTCATCCACGCCGCATTATTAGACCAATCGCAAGCTTCTAGGGTAGGTGTTGAAGTTGATGCTACCTGGGCTGATTGAACTAATTTGTTTTCAGTAATAGATACCGAATAGATTAACTTGACAGGCATTAGGAAACCTCGTTCCTAAGGCTGACAACAGCAAACAGCACAAAACATAACACTGGTCAACTATTGGACAACCACATCGTACAGCAATCATGCTTTAGGTTATATTTAACGAATCAATCAAATAAATGCGTTAAATAAAAAAAACTTTACATTCTTGAATATATCTTTTAGCCAATACTTGACCACCGTGGACAGCTTTAGGAGCAGGTTAAAATATCGAAGCCAAATGATAACCACCCCCACGAGAAACCCTTATCCACATAAAACAGCAGAATTATTACTTTTGGCACTTAAACAAACTATTATCCTTAATCCATATATCATTCAACCAAAAAATATACAATAAATCAACTGGATTAAATAAGATTTACCAAGAAACCCATAATAAACATTCTTAGTGAATCAGACGCGTACTTACCGGGTGCCATCTTCACTTGCAAAGAACTCTGATTGGTCAACCAATATCGAGCTGACTCGTATACCAAGAGACTATAATAATGATTCCAACAATTGGTGCATGGTCAGCTAATAGAACATTGACCCTAGTTCTACTAGTCTAGGAGTTCCAGTAGTAATCAAAGAATTACACCTTCAGGTCACTACATCAAGTCCGGAGATAAGGACTCGTCATAACCAACAAAACGGAGCCCAAATTCGGCACACCTAGTTCTACTCGTCCAGGAATTCCAGTAGTAGTTACTGCAATACACCTTCAGGTCCCTCCACCAAGTCCGGTGGTAAGGTCTTATCATAACTAACAAAACGAACCCAAACTCGGCACACCTAGTTCTACTAGTCTAGGAGTTCTAGCTGTAATCAAAGAATTACACCTTCAGGTCACTCCATTAAGTCCGGAGGTAAGGACTCGTCATAACTAACAAAACGGAGTCCAAATTCGGCACACCTAGTTCTACTCGTCCAGGAATTGCAGCAGTAGTTACTGAAATACACCTTTAGATCACTCTATTAAGTCCGGTGGTAGGGCCTCATCATAACTAACAAAACTAACCCAAACTCGGCACACCTAGTACTACTATTCTAGGAGTTCCAGTTATAATCATTGAATTACACCTTCAGGTCACTCCATCAAGTCCAGTGGTAAGGTCTCATCATAACTAACAAAACAAACCCAAACTCAGCGCATCTAGTACTAGTCCAGGAGTTCCAGTTGTAATCACCGAATCACACCTTCAAATCACTCTATTAAGTCCGGTAGTAAGGTCTCATCATAACTAACAAAATTAACCCAAACTCGGTACACCTAGTACTACTATTCTAGGAGTTACGGTTTTAATCAAAGAATTACACCTTCAGGTCACTCCATTAAGTCCGGGGGTAAGCTCTCAGCAGAAAACGAACCCAAACTCGGCACACCTAGTTCTACTAGTCTAGGAGTTCTAGTTGCAATCAAAGAATTACACCTTCAGGTCACTCCATCAACTCCGGAGGTAAGGACTCCTTAAAACTAACAAAACGGAGTCCAAATTCGGCACACCTAGTTCTACTCGTCCAGGAATTCCAGCAGTAGTTACTGAAATACACCTTTAGGTCACTCCATCAGGTACGGTGATAAGGTCTCATCATAACTAACAAAACGAACCCAAACTAGGCGCACCTAGTACTAGTAGTCTAGGAGTTCCAGTTGTAATCACCAAATTACACCTTCAGGTCACTCCATCAAGTCCGGTGGTAAGGTCTCATCATAACTAACAAAATGAACCCAAACTCGGCACACCTAGTACTACTATTCTAGGAGTTCCAGTTGTAATCAAAGAATTACACCTTTAGGTCACTCCATTAAGTCCAGAGGTAAGGTCTCATCATAACTGTCAAAACGAACCCAAATTCGGCTCACCTAGTTCTACTAGTCTAGGAGTTCCAGTAGTAATGACCCAATTAAACCTTCAGGTCACTCCATCAAGACCGGAGGTAAGGACTCGTCATAACAAAACGGAGCCCAAATTCGGCACACCTAGTTCTACTCGTCCAGGAATTCCAGTAGTAGTTACTGCAAAACACCTTCAGGTCCCTCCATCAAGTCCGGTGGTAAAGTCTTATCACCACCAACAACAAAACGAACCCAAACTCGGCACACCTAGTTCTAATAGTCTAGAAGTTCCAGTTGTAATCACCAAATTGCACCTTCAGTTCACTCCATCAAGTCCGGAGGTAGGTAAGGTCTTATTATAACTGACAAAACCAGTCCAAAGCCCAAATCTAACATCTCACTACCAGTAGAGGGCTTCCAGTGCCAAGCAATCTCTGGAGCAGGTATTCGTATTTCGTACCTAAGTATATTTCTGAGGTATAAGAAATGAAAAACAAATTCAATCTTTCAAATTATCAAAATAATTTCATTTGACTACGATTCCCGCAGCCAACCGTGCGTACACTTGTGTGTGACTCGTGTCGTCAATGTAGTAGTTCGATTCTATACCTATCAATTTTGTAAACGCTTAATATTTTAATTTTACGTCGTCCTGTTGCGTAATGTGTGTTCTGAGCACAAGCGACACAACCCCCCGTCCAAAAGCCGAAGTCAGAGTGAACGACGATGTCGGGCGCAGTGTTGGGAAATAGTTGGTACGAAATTATGGTGTTGCCAAGCTAGAAATTATTGTATTTTGGGTAGAAATATTGTTTTTTTTTTTTTGCAAAATATTTTTTAATTTATTTAAGCTGTCTAAATCAAAATTTAATTGGTTTTTGCTATTTCTTTATATTTGCATACATTAAAAACATGTTATTAATGTTTTTTTTTATTAAAAATAATAAAACTTTTCGGCTTTCGGCACGAAACTAAACAATATGAACTAATCAGGAATGGAAAATTCGAAGTCGTCTTTTTCTTCGAGTTCGAAATCTCGACGTGTAGATGTAGACGGATTTGATTGCAGAGAAGTTGTTGCATACAGGACGTTGGAGACAATTTTATTTGCCATTTGTTTCGTGGGTTCAAATGATAAACATCCCTTTTCAAGACGTTTTGCGCTGTCAGAAGCGATAACCACATTATTAATAGTGTTAGTCAAAATTCTGTTCAGACTTAATGAGATTTATCTTGCTAAAGATTCGCTCGCAATCTGCATTGGCGTGAGGGATGCTGTGCGAGAACAGTAAATTCTTTTTCGCCGCAAAGGTTTTCAAATTTTAACAATTTAGACCAAAACAGTTCGACTTTTTGTTCTTGAGTTATATTATCAGGTAGACATCTTAGGGGGAGATTTCGCCACTGGTCATCTAAGGATTTCAGTAAACTGCCATCGCTTGTTGCAGTATTATGAGTAATTATTCTGGGCAATATTGTAGCCAACGGCACGATGGAAGGCTTGTTCTGTCTACGGTCGCTCGAAAGATCTAATTTAGGATTTAAAGAGCTTATTTCTGACATCACTTTATCTGAAAAGTCCCAGCGTTTTTTTTTTTATTTCAGAAGCAGCTACCATGAGGAAGTTCCTACACGTATTGCGGAAATCTGTTATTCCGGTAGGATTTCTTTGGATGTCTTCATTACTAAGATGAGTTAATACACCTACTCCTAAATATAATTGTTGTACAAGAAGAAATTGGGATTGATTCGTGGGATCTATATTAGCCTCATTTTTCATGTAACAAAGTAATATTTCTTTGTATAGCTCTCCTACTTTTTCATTTAGTTCAGTTACAACCACTTTAGTTGCCTGAAAGTATGTATTAAAATTTGTGAATTTTGGCAAAATCCACTGCAAGAAGTAAAAATATAATTTTAAGAAAGGATCACGGAGGCAGTCCAAAATAAATTTCCCAGAAATTAATCTCTCTGAAATGGCCATATCTGTAAAAAATAATGTGAGCGCGCTCCACTGCTCTAGAATTCTGTATACCCCTGATACAAGAAACAGCCAGCGAGTTTGTGAAGGGTGCAGCATTTTGTGCGGTTTAAGATTAAGAAAAGTTTGAAACTGCACTAATTGTGCAGTCCTTTTGGAGCTTCCTTTAAAAAAATTGTAAATGGCTCGCGCCAATTCCTCACACCGGTTAGGAAGGCTTTTGCATGCCTCACTTGCACACAAATGTGCAGAGTGGCAAATACACTTTACTATTATAATACCCGGGTAATCGATTCTAATGCGACTTGCGACTGAATTATAAGACCCCATCATTGTATTGCATCCGTCGGATCCGAATCCAAGAATGTTTGCATCTGAAATATCGTACTTTACAAAACTTTGCTTTATTTCATTATACAGTCGCACCTTCGTTAGCAGCTTCGCAATCCCCTTTGAATATAGACCGCAAATCCCAAAACCGGCTCTCAATATGGCCACTCTCTTTATTGAAAAATCGAACCATTATACAAGTACTCTTCTCACATCCTATGTCATTAGATTCATCAGTCAAAATCGAGAACTTAGAGTTTCTTAATGTATTTGCTAAATATAACTTTATATCAGGTCCGATTACCTTCGTAAGTATCTTTGTAACTTTTTTTTATTAATAGTCATTTTCTGTATGACCTCTGATTCAGGCACACAATCTTTTAATAACTTTCCCAAATGTTCGGCAGTGTTGAATGTAATATCGTGTTCCGCAAAGAACATGGCCAATTTTAGTTCCATTCTCCTACTTTTGCTAATCGTGACATTCTGCTGAATTTGTTCAGTTGTTTGAATAAAATCACACGTAAAGTATTTCCCCCGGTTAATTGTCTCATGCTTTCTTCATGCTTCTTACCGTTTGCATGAAGTTTTAGAACATCTTTATCAGCTGTTATAACTGAGTTGCAAACCCTGCACATAGCCTTTGTAATGTCAGTATCGGGTACAATCCGTTTTTTAAACAAGGGTTCTTTTTCCAACTCAGATCTGTATTTTTGCGGTTTACGCTTTTTTTTATTTTCATGTGGTTGACTTGATGACGATAACTCTGTAGAACTTCGCTTAGGATTTCTTGGTGCGTCCTATCTGGATCGGACGAACTCATTGTGCTTGCTCAACTGCAATATAAAAAACAAACATCAT